GCAGCCTCGAATTGCTGGGCTCCAGCAATCCTTCCGCCTCAGCCTTCCAAGTAGCCGGAATTACAGGCATGCACTACCACGCCCAGCTTATTTTTTTATTTATTGTAGAGATGAGGTCTTGCTGCCCAGGCGGGTCTCGAACCTGTGGGCTCAGGCAATCCACTCACCTCAGCCTCCCAAAGGCGCGGGATTACAGGCTGAGCCACCGGAGCCCGGCTTTATGTTTCTATTTATAAAAATGTATCTTGTGAGCTACACATTGCAGCTCCTCTATTTTGCCAAAAAAAAAAAACAAAAAAAAAAACAAAAAAAACTGTAGTTGAACTCATTAGATTCAATTCAGCCGTAAAAATGCACTCTCTAAACCCACCAAAATTCAGTCCTGAGGATTTGTAAAGCCCTAATGCAGTCACTCATACCATCTCTAAATGTTTCTAAAGCATCTGACAGGCTATCTGTACAGCTAGAACATGATAGCATCAAGAAGATTCAGATCAAATGCACACTGTTAGTATGCTTAAATCTACTGATTTTTGCTGCCGTGTAGCAAAGTGGAGATGTCAGTTTATTTTAGAAGGTGTACCTACAGACAAGCCCAACAGGTGGGAAACGACGAGTCAAAACACTCAATTCCCTTTTCATGGGATAGAAGCCACACCGAATATAGGTCAAAGTCCTACATGTCACTAAAACATGCCTAACGCTTCAAACTACAAGCCTGATTACTGCTTATGGCAAATACCAGCTTTAAAAACGACGGTTTGCCATTTGATTATGTTCACTTGCATGTAGAATAATCAGATGCATTGTCTAGCATCTAGAATTTGGATTTGCCATGCACTGGAGTTCAAAAGCACCTAAATCTACTTATTGCCAAAGGTAATTCCACAACTACTAACAGCATTGACTCCTTGTTGGCAACCATTATCTGCTTAGGTTACCACACACTGAGTTCTTCTATGTTGCCGAAGTATTCTTTAATATTACATATTTACATATGATAGGGAAAACTAAAAGAGGTCCAGTCACCTACTTTAAAAAAAAAAAAAAAGACAAACAGGTAAGTTGTGAAAATGAGATTTTCCTTTGTACTATGTCCCACAGGATACATTACCATGTCGCTTCCCATCATGGAACCACTCATGGTTGCTGGTGGAACTCCAGGATTAGCTTCGTAACCTATGCCACCACCACCACCTAGAGGTGGAAATTTCTGGCCTCCTGAACCATAGGGATCTAGGAAACAAAAATAATGGTTACAACTCCACCAGAAAACTCTTCTCAAATAATACTGTTAATTTAATTTTCATACATACCTCCCATGTTCATTGCTCCTCCGCCACCCATTCTCATGTCTCTTTCTCTCTGAAAGAAAAAAATTTCTTCATATACCTGTACTATACCCCACACCAAGCATTCTTGAGAGTACTAAGAATTTTCCAAGGCTTAAAAAAACAAAACATATGGCATGGTATGGTTCTAAAGGCAGCTTTTTCGCTGCCTGAATTATTTTTACAGTCAATATTCTGGAAATTAGGCTAGACTTACTTATCTAAATACCTATAAAACTTCCAATCTGACAGGGTGTGGTGGCTCAGCCTGTAATCCCAGCATTTTGGGAGGCCAAGGTGAGAAGACTGCCTGAGCCTGGGGGGTTCGAGACCAGCCTGGGCAACTTGGGTGCGACCTCATCTCTACAATAACTCACAGTAACTAGCCAGGCATGGTAGCATGCATCTGTAGTTCTAGTTACTTGGAAGGTTGAGGTGGAAGGATCATGGTAAGCCTATCACTGTACTTTACCCTGGGCATTGGGCATTGGAGTGAAACTCCAACTCAAATAAATAAATAAATAAGTAGAAAGTAATTACCTATAATGTGAGATGTTACATTTAACTAAGCAAAATTTTCCTCTAGATAACTACAAGTTCTCTGACAACTCCAATTAGATGGCAACAAAAACTGACTTACTGGATCCATGTAGCCCATCCGGCTATAACTTTCCTCTCTTTGGCGTCTCATTTGTTCTTCCATCTCACGCTGACGAATCATCATCTCTTCCTCCCTTCTACGTCGTTCCTCTTCTTGCCTAGAAATATCCATCAGGAATGCAAATCAAAGTGCTATCCACATCTTTTAAAACTCAATTTGATGAAAGCTATCAGTCTGCCTAAGAACTTTCGAAATCTAGGTTAGAATCTAGGTTAGAGCTACATACACAAAGGAGGGTGAGTCTAGGAGCACAGCACTCAAGACATTCTGGCAAAGAAAATAAGCTTTGTTAATGAAAACCTTACACACATCAATATAATATTTAACCTCTGATTGATCTGCAAAATCAAGTACATCTTTTCCCCTAAATATAAGAATATAAAAGCCAGGCTCAGTGGCTCAGCCTGTAATCCCGCGCCATTGGGAGGCTGAGGTGAGTGGATTGCCTGAGTCCGTGGGTTCGAGACCCGCCTGGGCAATGAGACCTCATCTCTACAAATAAATCAAAAAATCAGCTGGGCGCGGTAGCGCATGCCTGTAATTCCGGCTACTTGGAAGGCTGAGGTGGAAGGATCGCCGGATCCCAGCAGATGGAGGCTGCGGTGGCCGGGAGCAGCCACTGCACTCCAGTCTGGGCGACAGAGTGAGACGCCAACTCAAAAAAAAAAAAAGAATATAAATATTAGCACATTTAACAAGATTTTACCTCAACTGCATTTCTTTACGTTTCTGCATTTCTTGATTATGAAGTTCTTCCATGCGTCTCAATTCTTCCTGTCGTCTCATCAAATCTAAACATTGGGGAATATGATTTTGGGTTTAAATTAATGAGGTCCTAATTAAGTTCAAAAAGCAACAGATCCTGCCAGGCATGGTGGTTCATGCCTGTAATCCCAGCACGTTGAGATAGAAGAGAGAGCCGCGCTCGGTGGCTCAGCCTGTAATCCCGCGCTTTGGGAGGCTGAGGTGAGTGGATTGCCTGAGCTCGCGGGTTCGAGACCCACCTGGGCAACTTGGCAAGACCTCATCTCTACAATAAATCAAAAAATTAGCCGGGCATGGTAGCACACGCCTGTAGTTCCAGCTACTTGGAAGGCTGAGGCAGAAGGATCGCTTGAGCCCAGGAGGTTGAGGCTGCGATGGTCAGGAGCGTGCCACTGCACTCCACTCTGGGCGACAGAGTGAGACTCCAACTCAAATTTTAAAAAAAAGAGACAGAGGAGAGGACTACCTGAGCCAGGGGTTCAAGACCAGATCTCGTCGCTACCAAAAAAAAAAAAAAAAAAATTAGATGAGTATGGTGGTAGGTGTTTCAGCTATATGGAAGGCTGAGGCTGTGGAAGCCCCGATGGCGCCGTGCCACTGGACTCCAGCCTGGGCAACAGAAAAAAAAAAGATCCTACCAGGCAAGTTCACAAAGGATCATTTACCTTGGCGCAAAAGATTTGCCTGGTGTTCATGATAGGCATCTTCCATTTCACTTTCCAATTTGTCTTTTGCATCCTTCATGTTTTTTTCAACTTGTTCCCTTTGTTGTTTTTCCATCTCATCTAAGGACTTCCATCGCTGAGAATATTCATACTCAAATGTACCATGCTGGGCAAAGCGAGGAGGAGTTTCCCTCTCCCTAACGCCACAAAATGTAAACGCAAACCCATTTGTGAATGCACAGAAGAAAATACTACCCCCAACTGCCCTAAAAGACTGGTCTTTTTCACTCACAAGGAGTACATAAGGCAAAAATTATCTTGGTTTATATAAAGTATCTTCAGAGCAAAAATTCTAAGAAAATAAGAGAATACAGGTACTAAAGAAAAAGCCTATCTTCCTTACTTCCGGTTCTCCTTTACCCAAAATCCTTACCACAGCCTTTTCCATCCATAGAATACGTATTATGAAAATTACTGTTGAAACCAAACAACCGGGCTCGGTGGCTCAGCCTGTAATCCCGTGCCTTTGGGAGGCTGAGGTGAGTGGATGGCCTGAGCCCGCGGGTTCAAAACCCACCTAGGCAGCGAGACCTCATCTCTACAATAAATAAATTTTTAAAAAAATCAGCTGGGCGTGGTGGCGCATGCCTGTAATTCCGGCTACTCGGAAGGCTGAGGCGGATCGCCAGAGCCCAGCAGGTCGAGGCTGCGGTGGCCGGGAGTGGCCACTGCACTCCAGTCTGGGCGACAGAATGAGACTCCAACTCAAAAAAAAAAAAAAGAAAAGAAACCAAACAGGATCACATGTGAATGTACCTATCTCAGAAATAGCCATCTGAACAGCTTCAAAACCTAACTTTCTGAGCTTGAGATTTTTACTATTCCTACTCATACTTACATCAAAGAATTTTGCATATTTTAAGCAAAATCACAAAATGACTAGAACAAGTTCTCTTTTGCACTTTAATTTTTAACTGCCAAACGTTTAATCCATCTTACTTTTGATACATTGGATTCTTCTGTGCAAGTTTTTCAGGAAGACCATCTTCATCATCTAACTGTTCAAGTGGTTCCACAATGACTGGACGAGGAGTTCTATGAACAAAAATGATTCCATCTTACCTTTGTTCTATTTTACTGAAACCTCATATAAATTAATAAATAGAAATGATTAGAATAATCAGAGAACTTACGTTGTCAACAAGAAAACACCTTCACTGCATCGTTCAAATGCCTTTCTTGCTGCTGGTTTTGAAGCAAATTCAACAATGCCTTTCCCTGTAGATCTTCCACGATCATCCACAATTACAACAGCCCTTTCAATAGGACCAAACTGGCTAAAAGCTTCTTCCAAAAGTTCATTGGAAACATAAGGTGAAAGATTACGAACAGAAAGGGCAGCAGCATGTGTGGCAAAGCGGACCCGAAGCTGTCTACCTCTCATGGGTGTATCATCGAGTTCAGCTTTGGCAATTTCAGCCAATGCTCTAGATTCCTGTAAGTATCAGGGACACTCGTGTTAATGACTTCAAACTTGGCTAATGTCCACTCTCAAATTGTCCTAAGCCCAATTCCTAATCCTGATCTTCCTCCAACTAGTTCAAGACTTACCTTCAGGCAGCCCTTCCAGGATTGCCACTCAGGATTGCCCACCCCACCCGCCTTTTTCTCAGATTCCACCAATTATACGTTATACGGGAGGCATATTTTTTCTGCAAGAAGGATGAAAGCTTTAAAAACCAGTTTATTCTACTTGACTTAAAACCAATCCTTTAGCATCTGTAGAGGCATCCAAACGCCACCATTTTAATTCTACATAAAAATCAAACAATTACACTCACAAGCTTAATAAAACCGAATCCTTTGCCTTTGTTGATAAAAACTTCTCCTGGTTCTCCATATTTAGCAAACAGTCTTTTGAATTCATCCTCTGTGATATCAGCCGGTAGATTCCCAACAAACAACCGACAGCGTTGTGTGTAAGTTTTCTCTCCAGGCCTCCTCAAGAGAGACAAGTTGGCCTTAAATCCCTAATGAAAAAGGAAGGAAATTTTCAAACACCAGTGACTTCTGCAAATAGGAAAACTCTTAAAATAATTTTTGTTTTCCCAAAACGGAACGTGCCATCAGTTGCTTTCCTTTTCCATTTAGTCATAGACAAAGATGTCTTTTTTTTTTTTTACCAGATTTCCAACATGATCATTATCTTAACATAAACTGGAGAACACCTATTATCCAGAAAGCTCTCAAAGACTTTCCCAAAGAGCAGACTATCAGCAACTGTCAGCCGTATATGCTATGCAGAGTATCCCTAACAATCCTGAACAGTAGTACAGTTTTTTGTTTTGTTTTGTTTTTTGAGTTGGAGTCTCACTCCGTCGCCCAGACTGGTGTGCAGTGGCCGCTCTCGGTCACCGCAGCCTCGACCTGCTGGGCTCCGGCGATCCTTCCGCCTCAGCCTTCCGAGTAGCCGGAACTACAGGCGCGCGCTACCACGCCCGGCTGATTTTTCGACTGTAGAGATGAGGTCTCGCCAAGTTGCCCAGGCGGGTCTCGAACCCGCGGGCTCAGGCAGTCCACTCACCTCGGCCTCCCAAGGCGCGGCATTACAGGCTGAGCCACCAAGCCCGGCTAGTAGTACAGTTTAAATGGCAGTCTTGTATTAAGGGGGGAGGAGAAACACCCACAAAACCCAAATCCCGTTGCCACCGACACGACCGGCGCCTGCCCGGTTCTCTCCAAACCTACACCACGCTCTCTGCACCACCCGGACGGCAAGGACTCCCCCCGAAGGCCACCCTCCCCAGGGCCCCAAGGCACGCAGCGACGGCGGCCAATCCCTGAGCGACTAGCGGCCCCGCGCCGCCGTCACGCTCCGCAGGCTGCCCCGCCCCCGCGACCCGCGCGCGCAGGCGCCCGTTCCAGCCGCCGACAAAATGGAGGCCTCGGCGCGGGGGCGGGGGCGAGAAGGGGGCCGCCGCCATCTTAGGAGCCGCCGCGTCGCTCCCGAGGCACTCACCTCTGAGTCCGAGATCTTTTCCTCGCTGCGGCCGCCGGGCGGGGGCCCCTGGTGGTGCTGCTGGTGGTAGGGCGGGTGGTGCTGGCGGCCCCCGCGGGGCTCCCCGCCGCCCCGATGCGGCGGCTTGGGGTGGCCGCCGGGAGTGCTTAGGCCTGGGCCGCCGCCGGGCTTCGGACCGCCAGGCATTTTGCCGCCTTTGGGGCCACCGGGGCCCGGGCCCTGCTTAGGCCCCGGGCCCGGAACGCCCGAGGGTGGAGGCGGCGGGCCCCCGGCC